ATCTAAACTGTAGGTGGACGCGATGAGCTGAAGCTTATATGCCTGTTGCTCAATGTTCTCTATTGAATTTTTTACATCCCAAAACCTAAAAAGCTTAGAAATGCGTGTGTGCCATAGAAAATGTTCGAGAAAGTCTCCTCTTCATCTGAACTTGAGGTGGACGCGATGAGCTGTTGCTCAATGTTCTCGATTAAATTTTTTACCATAGGAAATGTTCGAGAAAGTATCCTCTTCACCTGAACTTGAGGTGGAAGCAATGAGCTGGAACTTATATGCCTGTTGCTCAATGTTCTCGATTAAATTTTTTACATCCCAAAACCTAAAAAGCTTGGAAATGCGTGTGTGCCATAGAAAATGTTCGAGAAAGTATCCTTTTCATCTGTACTTGAGGTGGACGCGATGAGCTGTTGCTTCAATGTTCTCGATTGAATTTTTCACCATAGAGAATGTTCGAGAAAGTATCCTCTTCACCTGAACTTGAGGTGGAAGCGATGAGCTGGAGCTTATATGCCTGTTGCTCAATGTTCTCGATTGAATTTTTTACATCCCAAAACCGAAAAAGCATATAAATGCGTGTCTGTCATAGAACATGTTCAAGTAAGTCTCCTCTTCATCTGAACTTGAGGTGGAAGCGATGAGCTGGAGCTTATATGCCTGTTGTTCAATGTTCTCGATTGAATTTTCTAAATCCCAAAACCTAAAAAAGGTTAGGAATGCGTGTGTGCCATAGACGCATGCGCATCCAAAATTATTAACGACAGGTTATTAACAGTTCTTGCTGAGAAGCTCGTATACTATTTTGGATCGATTCGAAACTGTTACAAACTAGTTCGTATAAAAAGAAAACACACTAGTTTGTGGAACAACAAACAGTGAGATAACGCTATAGCACTTCTGTGTTACTGCGCCTGATTCTGATGGCATCGGACTGTTAATCTTATTTCTTGTTATATTCTACACGTTTCGTGTTTCATTTCTATTACTTATTTCCAGAGTAATAGGAAAAGCATCGGGGAAAGCCATCAACATTGAGCTTATCAAACATCAAGATCGACAATATGGCTATCACCATCGAAGATCAACTAGAGATTTGCTTGGCTACGTTACATGGCAAGTTTCATTAGAAAAACATGTGAAATCTCTAGCAGTGGCTTTAGATATATCGAAAGCATGCATTGTCAATTTTCTTTCCAGGCAGATCGCTCCATGTGGTGGTGAACGATGTATCGTCTGATACCATCACCATCAATTCCGGCATACAAAAATTCATTTTGGCACTAACATTGTTCCTAATCCATATAAATGGTTTCTTGGAAGTAACCACTTTTTTTCTCTTGGATCGCACGAAAGGAAATTCCTATAATGTTCGCGGAACAACGTGCGTACCAACGGAGGATAGGGAGAGGAGGTAGGTATTGGATTTTCAACATTTGGAGGTTATAAGTTCGCGGGAATACTTCCATTGGCAATTAATTCCAAATCTTCGCCGTTCTATAGACGAACGAGTTTTGGTAGTGTTGTTCGACATTTTTCAAGGTTAACGACGAAGGGATGTGTTGACTGGGCCCGTCGAGTTCGTCTGTCTGGTATTGATAGTGATGGAATTATAGTAGAGATTTCTGAGTAACATTTCCCGTGGAAGTATCTATAGAAAACCGGAAAGTCGCCGACTTCCCTGTTCTAATGAGGTCAAAGAGTTAGTGAGTGTGGCATCAGCCACCAGGCGAATGACTCTTCTCTGGATGGAATCTAAGAGCATCAGCGTATGTTTGGGTGCTGAGAACAGTATTCTAACATTGGCCGTATCTGTGCTTTGTAGATCATGAGAAGCTGTTGTGGTGTAACGTAGATTTTCGCACGGAACAGGAAACCGAGTTTTTGTGAAGTAGCTTTTGCGATGGATTGAATATAATGTTCCCATGAGAGAGTATTGCTGATGGTAATATCGAGCATAGATATAGTGATCTTGGTGGAAATGGTAATTTCAGACATTGTTATATCAGGCATACTGAGTTCCGCCTTTCTAGAGAAAATACAGGCTTGAGTTTTGGTGGCGTTGAATTCAACTAGATTGTTGGTTCCCCAGGCTGTGATCTCCACAAGATCTTCTTTGACAGCGTTGGCCCGACTTCGTCGTAAGTTCTTAGTTTCCTGGGAAGAAATGGGAATTCTACCTACCTGATGTAACAATGTCTATATAGTACCACCATCACCACAAAGTCATACTCAAAACCCATCTGGAAATTTTTTCGTTTTGTATTTTGTATCAGGTGTTCTGAAATCCGCGCAATTTGCACGTTTATGCATTCTTGTGGAAAAAAATTCAGGGTGATAGCAAACAGTTCAGGGTTCACAAAAACGGAGCTCTACACCACTACAGGAAAGAACAATGCGATTTCATCGAGCAATATTTTGAAAATGATAACAGTTTGCCAGCTACAATTGCTTAAATGTTGGGACATCCTATAGTAGGAACCATAAATCTGCATTCAGATAAATATTTCAGGGATCATTTCAGGTAAGTAGGTATGTATATTTTAGTGGATATAGTATATATTTAGGTCATAATTTTTAGGATTCTTCTAGGTTGAGTAACCTCAACATAACCCTCATGCCCTCGATCAACGAGATTTAATTTACGAAAGAGAAAAAGAATGAGAGATAAAACTTTGCTTTCCAAGCTATCCCAGAGTTATTTATGGGGATCGAATTTGACGCACACCTGATTTAAAACAACCTACAATCTGAATATTTTCAAGGATTCCCATCACGTGGTATGTTGGGATTCCTGTATTTTTATGATTATTTTTTGTAATGAAATTGTGCATACAGAGTTTGGTATTTCAATCTGGTACACTAGATTGTCTGCGAGTGAATGCGCATGTGTCCATAATGTAACACGGGATTCACTACGGCCAATCTGACAATGAGGTTTGAAAATGTTTCGTAAACTTTGGTCTAGTGACTCATCTGCAAGCATCGTTCGAAAAATTTGGAACGCGAACAAACCCAATATAGACCAGGGTCGATAATTTTTAAACAAAAAAAAATAATAGTAGGGTAAAACCCGTTAAGAAAGAACGAGAATATTACAAAAATTGAATAAAAAACCATTTACGGGCTATCTGAGGTCGGGAAGTGGAAGGGGGTGAGTTTTAAGGGTAAAAAACGGTGTATCTCGATTTCCGGCAAAACCACAAGTCCTATGAAGAAATATCAAACGACAAAGTTGTAGGTATTGAAGAGACTTACAACTTTTGTGATCACACTTTTTTCACATAACCCCAAAATTTATGTGAAAAATTCAAATAATCAAGTTTTTGGTTTTTCATTTTTATATTATGCAAAATAAAATTTTTCACACGAAATTTTTAGAGAACTTACCTTTTAATGTCCCGAAGACACTGTAATGTTTTGATTTGAAATATTTATTTCTTCACCTTATTTTGACTTAATATCGAAAAAACATCCTAATTTTCAATCGAAAATTCTAACGTCAAAATATCAGATTTTTTAAAAAACTCGGGGCGTTCTTTGTTCGTTGAAATCTCTTCTTTCTGATAATGTGAAAAAATATATACATCACTATAGTAAATGTTCTCAGAAATGCAAAGAAAAGAAAAAGCTCGATTCCGAAATTTTTTTAATCACTATGTACAATTTTGAGCTATTTAGTGAAATTTACAGTTTAATTACATAAAGATTGCAAGGAACATGCGAAAATAGTTGTTCTAAATATTGAAGATAGGATTTGAAGGAAGTTAGTGATTCAGATGGAATTGTGGATGAATGACCAATTCAGACTAAAAATAATATTGGCTACGAAGACGGTGATGGTCTTGAGGATTTCAAAGATATACTAATCAGGAAGGTTTGACGAATCTAACGATGAAGAAATGCCACCGAAGAGACAGAAAGTAATGAATATGTGATCAGAGTTCAAGATGAGATTTATGAATAAGAAGACAAAAGCATTTAGAAATATTATTATGAATGATAATAATCAGTATAAAGTATCTAAATTCAATAGTACGATTTACATTTATTTTCTATTCATATATTATGAGATTTTCTATGACATAAATGTAAATATAGAATTTAATAAATCAACTTTTTTACTAAACAAAATTGCAGCAATCAAATGTTCCTATTGAAACTCCCCTTTGAATCATATCTTTAATATTTAGAACAACTATTTTCGCATGTTGCAATCTTTATGATTTATGGATTTGTATTTTTTTTGATCTTCAATATAACATAGAATCTTACGTTTTCCAAGTAATTGAAGTGAAAATTTTACAAAATAGCTCAAAATTGTACATAGTGATTCGGTTTTTTCTTTTCTTTGCATTTTCTGAGAACATTCACCATAGTAATGTATATATTTTCCTACATAATCAGAAAGAAAAGATTACGACTAACAAAAAACGCCCCGAGTTTTTATGAAAAGCTGATATTTTGACGTGAGAATTTTCGATTGAAAATTAGAGTGTTTTTTCGATATTAACTTCATATAAGGTGAAAAATAAAAATATTTCAAATCAAAAGAATCACAGGGTCTTTAGGACATGAAAAGGTGAGTTTTGACCAAATTTCGTGAAAAAAAATATATTTTTTTCGCATAAGATGGAAATAGAAAACCAAGAACTTGATTATTTGAATTTTTCACATAAATTTTGAGGTTATGTAAAAAAAAGTGTTATTACAAAAGTTGTAGGTCTCTTCATTACCTACAACTTTGCTATTCAACTTTTTTCCATAAGGCTTCTAGTTTTGCTGGAAATCAAGATAAACCGTTTTTTACCCTTGAAATCTCACCCCCTACCACTTCCCGACCTCAGATCACCCGTAATTTATTTTCCCTTTCATCTTTGTTATATTATTTTTTTTTTTTTTCGATGATTTTCATCCTACTATGATTTTTCTTCACGTTTTACCGTTTTCAAAGGCTTCACCACTGGTCTAATACGATTCAAGTCCGTTATTTTTTTTGCACTTACCTACTGTGCAGCACTCTGAGCGACTTCGGCGACATGCAGTTGACGCTCCAATCGGTGTTGCCGTGGTCGTTGCAGATGGTGATGGAGAATCTGCCGTAGTTCGCCCGGATCAGCTTGATCAGCTCGCCGTCCCTGCATTCGATCTTCAGCACTTTACCCTCGCAGGCATACGCCGTCTCGTAGCGAATTTCTGGAATAATACAACGGATGTTATAGAGTGACGACAATAGACCTCCAAACGGCTGCCTTTGCGGAATGTCATTCAAGGTCAAATCACTGAATAGCTGAAAATCTTGCAGTAATGAATTTGCGCCTTCGGAGTGCCCACCTGATGTTAAGTTTAGATATTTGATATTTTAATTTCATAATATAAATAATCTGAGACCTATGAATCCCAAAAGATGGATTCTAATAGTTAATATCCAAGGTACTGACGTATAGAGTTTCATGTATAATTGTTGGATCTCTCATGTCCAAAGAGGGAAATATTTCGATTTGAAAATGCTGAAGCAATAACTCTGATGCTGGTATTAGAATAAGTATTATAAAAAACAAGTATCTATTTATTAAGGACAACAAACATTATTTTACTGATGAAGTTATCGATTGAACAAAATCACATCAGAAAATATTCAATTAAATTTGACTCAAAACATCATCTAGTTAGAGTAAGTGCCCAAAATGTCCTCCGTTTTCATGAATACACAATTCGATCCTTTTTTCTGAAGAATGCATCGGTTATTGAGGATCAGCTATGAGATCATTGAAGTAATGTTCAATTCTTTCTTGAAGATCTTGACGTGGTTATCAATAAATAGGTAACAGTCTTTTATGATTCTTCCTTTGAACTAGCATCAGTGTTATTTTTCAGCATTTCATTCAAATCGAAATATTCCGAAAACGGTACACAGTATCAAGTTTTACCAGGAGCATCTTTTAAGTGTAACAATGAATGATGTTCAAGTTCACATTAAATTTGTAGTGAAAAATCTAACCTCAAAAAAGTTATGTTCAAAAGTACTCGGTACGAACCGTGTAACTAGCGCCCTCTATAAGTGTCAGATATAAAATCAAATTCATGCGATGTGTCAGCTTTCAACACACATCCATACAAAATTTCATTACAATGTTGCCAGTAGTTTCACATAATCGTAAAAAATGTGTAAAAAATTATGTTTTCAACACCTTGTATCTTGAAAACCGACGGCGTTACGACATTTTTTCACTTAGCAAACTCAACTTATTTTGCAATGTTCTACCTACCCTAGAAAGTATTTTCGAGCAAAGCTATAGCTCAGTTGACAGTGTACCTGGAGGCCTAAGCTTTTTTAAACTTGTACTCACAAATAATTTTTCGAAAAATATACTTCTCAGGAAAGAGGTTTCTTTTTTTTATCGCTTGGAGCGCATGAAAGGGAATCCATATAATGTTCAAAGAACATCGTGCGTTCCTAGGGAGGATAGGGATAGGAGGTAGGTATTGGAATTTTTTTGAACTTCTGGAGATTATATGTTGTTGGGAATACTTCCTCAGGCAATGCATTCCAGAGCCTAGCCGTTCTATGGATGAAGGAATTTTGATAAAGTGCTGTTCGACATCTTTCGAGGTTGACAACGAAAGGATGTGCTGATTGGGCTTGTCTAGTTCGTCTGACTGGTATTGCTAGTGGAGGGATGATAGCAGAGATTTCCGAAGAACATTTCCCGTGGAAGTATCGTATCGAAGTATCGAAGTATTTAGGCGAGTTAGGTTAGTTTGTTTGACGGTGGTCTTCTTTATGAAAATAGGTAACCGCCGGCGGTTGTTTATGTATCGGTATCCAACCGCCGAAGCGGATTTCACGGCGGTCTTCTATATAACCGCCGCGGCGGTTGTTTATGTTTCAGTATCCAACCGCCACGGCGGCCGTGTAGACAGTGCCAATAAACTATCCTTCTGTCAGAGCTTCTGTAGCCGTAGCCGTATAATCCTAGCGCCTGCAAAGAGAACGCAAGAAATAAAGCCCATGGTGGGGTATCGTAGACATTTTTTCATATTGTTCTCAAATGATTTTTCGAAAAATACACTTTTTTAGGAAAAGTGATCATTTGTTATGAGATTGCTTGGGAAGAGTAGTCTCATTTCTTATGTAGAAACGACATTTTTCTTCCTCCAAAGGTTAATTTAGGCCAAGAGCTTAGATTGTTCAAAAATATAGTCTCTGCCACCTAAAAAAACTTTTTTTCAAGAACATTAGAATTAGTGCCAATTTACAGTTGCAACTGTGAATTAGACAGAAGAAACTTTCTTAAAATATCTCCCGATTTTCAGTTGCAACTGTAAATTAGGCAGGGTACACTTTTTTTTCAAATCTTAGAGAAAATTAGAAGATATTAAGATAAAAATTCTTCTGCCTAATTGACAGTGCAACTGTAAATAAGAACAACATAACTTTTTCTACACATCTCCTAATTTTCAGTTGCAACTGTAAATTAGGCAGAGAAAGTTTTTTTTTCAAAACACCTAATTTACAGATGCAACTGTAAATTAGGAGTTGCAACTGTAAACACTAACAAACACTCATGATGCATACTATAAATTAAATATTTGTGTACAAAACTAGTTGGAAAGTGCATTTCCTGGGCTCAGGCTCAGGCTTCATTAGTCGGTTTTCTTTCAAGGAAACAAGAGACCAGGAGACCACCCATATCGAGTCGCTATATTTATTTTATTACCTATATTGCAAAATCAATGTTCATATCAATGAAACGTGCAGATTTACTAGTTCATATCAAATTCCACTCATTCAACATAATCTCATCCATAATGATTCGATAAGGTCCACACAATCTATAAATATATAATGCCTGCCTATAACAATGCTTACAGTCATATTATGCGAATTCATGTAGGTAGAGGGTGGACCAATTTCGCTGACATTTACACGAAAAAAAAGAATGAAATTGACAAACTGCGTTGGGTGCAGCAAATTTTTATTATAGAATCATCTCAGTTGATTACGATTTCAAAACAATAAAATGATGACTTTGTGACAAATTCAAGACGTCTTACTTCATATTATGACTGTGCTAAAATAACATGAAGTTGTCTCCAACGTCATTTGAAAGTAAAAAAAGTTATGATTTTAAGCAAATATCATTGAATATCACAACAAAAATAAAGTTTCTTGCCATGAAATCTTTATAACATCTGACCAAATAAAGGTAAGCATTTGCTTCGAAGTTTTTTGAATATTGGGTCAAAATTTCCATGCACCTTCTTTCTCATCTGTGTGCCAAGTTTGAAAGAGATCACTTTGATATTTCCTTGAACATTGATTTATGAAGTTTATTTCATTGAACTTTATCCTCCTCTAATTGAGTTGGGGTGCATTTTTTGCATTGATAAGAAAGGTCCCCTTATTGCGCGAGTACTGCGAGTAGGTATCTATCACCTCTTCGGATCAATGTACAGGGTGATTGTTTATATTTCACTCAATAGCTATCCCAGTTAATATTGGTCCTACAGAAACGTTCAAATGGGAGAAATGAAGTATTTTTTATGAGCATTCAGAATCTTTTACTAGAAAATGAGCATAAAATCATCGTAAACCTAAAAATTCAACAAATACTGGTATTTTTTCAAATGGAAAACCTTGTATTTCATTTTCCTAATCCATAGAGCTCTTTCTTCTGATTTCAAATATATAGGGTGTCCCGAAATTACATAGAAATATTCGAATCACGAATTCTAGGAACAGAAATAGTGAAAAAAAAAACTGTATTATATAAACATGGGTCCATAGCCCCCAGGGGGAACCCGAGATGATGTTTTTTTGTAAATCTTTTCGAAACTCTCTATGATAAAATAACCAAATTTTGTACATATACCTAACTTTTCTTGCCCAATTTGAAAATGTTAACAATTTTTCGAAATGATGATCAGGGGAGTGAAAAATAGGTGCTAGGGGCACATTTTATTCCAACTTTTTTGTTTATATAATTTTTGGCAGTTTGTCCAGGAAATACGGAACTCTCAAAATGTTTTTTGAAATTCTGCTGCGTAAAAAAAGTACTTTTTCCGAGATTTTTTCCTAAATAGGGTACCGAAATCTCCCAAAAGTTATGGTTTTATGGAAAATACACTATTTTTTACATCTATATGTACATCTACTTTTGATGTTTCATTCGTAATATGGAGGGTGGAATAAAAAAATAAATTGAAAAATATGGTAGGTACCCTATTAAGAAAAAGTACTATTTTCATTAAGCAGCAACCTTTTAAAATTCATTTATCTCGAAAATGATGAGTGCTATCGAAACAAAACAGGAGTACCATTTTTAAGTAAAAATGATGATTATCTCATATTTCGTGGTGAAATTGCTGAAAATTGCATCAACAAAGAAGTTGGGAAAAAAAAGTGCACCTAGCCCCATCTATTTTCCACGCCCTTGATCAAAATGTCAGAGAATGCTCAAAATTTTCAAAATGGCCATAAAAAGATAGATGGGTGCAACCTCGGATACAACGAAGTTTGGTTGTTTCATCGCAGGGTTTCGAAAATAGTTACAAAAAACCATCTACTCGGGTTTTCTTTCAGATGGCTATAACCCCCCAGGAAAGCATTTCTGGATCATTTTTTATATAAACTTTTTTCACTAAATTTGTTCCTATAGAATCTGTGGTTGAAATATTTCTATGTAATTTCGGGACACCCTGTAAACATTATATACTTTATTGAGGTTATCTTTGTCAGTTTTCGAAAACTCCAGAACGCCAGAAATCCTGCCTTAGATCTATCTATACCAAGAAATGTATGTTTCAAAAACTGACAGAAGATAACCTCAATAAAGTATATATATTTGAAATCAGAAGCAGGGGCGGATCCAGGCGATGTTTCAGAGGGGGGCATAGGAAGTCATCAATTGAGGATAGCAAAATGGTAGCTTTCGAGACAAAATAAATGTTATTTTATTAGGAAGATCGAGTATCGAAATTATTGTTGACAAAAGGTTCAAACTGATAAAAAACGCCTAAAGCCATAATATATAACGCAGGCTATTCATTATCCGATTCTGAAGAATGAAAAGGCGAATAAAATAATTCATTAAATAAGTATGAGTAGGCTTAGATCCGAGCTTAGATCATTATTTTTTCAAATTCCAATTGTAACGTGAGCGATTGTCAACTTTCTCTGTCAGATGAGACCA